TGAGATTATATATGTATATATACCTTTGTATGAGTTGAACTGTAGCAATCTAGTGGTCTCATAAAGGGAATTCATGTCATGATCTACCAATAACACATTCACTTCAAACATGTTTGGGTCATAGAAAGAAGCCATTGATGAAGATGGTAAAGTGACAATAACTAGCTAGAAGGGAAATCTTTTTTATCGTAACTATGTTCGAAATGGAAACTTCTTGTCGAATGTTTCGACCGACGAAAAAAAAAGGTATGCGAAACTCGAGAGGAAGAGGAATGTGGTGAATTATGATCTAGATGTTATATAGAGAAAGTTTGGTACTGAAAAAAATAATAAAAACCACAAATTTGAGTAATAAAAAAAAAAGTTTTGGAGCTTTATCTTTATTACTCAATCCTATTTTTCATTATTTCATATTTCTTGGTTTTGGTCTCTTTTAGTTTATGCCTTTTAGACAAGGCAAAAATGTGGGTTTTTTTTGCAATCTTGTTTACTTAATTGCTTTCATGGCTTTTTCCTTGGTAGAACTTGTAACTGATCATGTTTTAAGGCATTTGCTAGAAAAACAATGCAACTTTTTGTCATGATGCAATCTTGGTTTTAAAGTGGTGTGTAATTGTAGAACAACCTTGTCCTAGAAAGTCAAGATTTCACTTAAATGCAAAAGCTCAAATGTTATATTTTCAAGGAAAAAAAGTTAGTATAGTAGCATTTTTTATATGTATGGTTGAGGTAGTTTTTATGCACAAAGAGGTGGAGTATGTTTGGATGTCATTAATTAGATGAATTAATATTATTTAACAAATTTAATAGTTTGCTAAATCGCAAAATATAGTCAATATCTTATACGTAGTGGTAATAACAGCCACAATCATTACTGATTTGCAATAGTAGCCAACAATCTTTTAAACTTTGGGGTATTACCCAAAATTCTTCAAAATTTGACAGCTAAATTGCAAAAAGTAGCCAATATTCTTTTGCACTGTGGCAATAATAGCAGTTGAATTTGGTCGGACATGAGTATTAACCTCGAAATTTTAAAATTTATTGGCTACTATTTATTCATAAAGATGGTGGCTATTATTACCACTACATACAAGATATTGGGTATATTTTACAATTAAACCGTTTTTGCTTCAATGTTTTTTGCTTGCTTGCTTGCTTATCATATAATTTATGCATTCCCTAATTAATTACCATATGTATATATACATGAATTTCTCATCAAATGTGATAATTAATTAGACCCAATATATGTAGCTCTAGATTTAAGTAAACTTTGTTATATAATGTTGAATATTTCATTAGACCCAATTTATATAGCTCTAGAAAATGTTAATTTTTTTTATTAAATTTTCGTTAGAGGATACTAGGAAATGTTACCTCTTTGGGTCAAAATTACAACGTGGAAAAATACAAACTAGGATTCTTCATACTGCAAAAATTGAAAAATTTATATTTATATAATTAGGGGCTATTTCATTAATGCTAATTTTTTTGTTTTCGCTCTTTTTTGGAGGGTTAATTACGACAAAAGAAAAATAAAGAAAATATTGTTCTTTTTATTGAAGTATAAAAATCCAACTAAAAGCAATTAATATAACAATTTAATTATAAATGTGAGATATACTATTATATAAATTTTTATTTTAATTAAGATTTTTGTATATAATATTTATTAATTTTTTGTAACATATGTATGTACACAGGATTAATACTAATTGAGATTAAAGTTGCCAAAACATAAAAGATGGTCTCCATTTTAATCCAATTTTACATCATCGTTATTATTATTTTTATTATTATTATTATTATTAAAAAATTGGAAATCTAGCCACCACCAAACTCTGGAGACCGACCGACCACCTTAAATAAAATTGTTCGCATATATAATAATAAATAAATGGTCTTTATAATGGTTGGATTTATAAAGCTAAAAAGCAAAACCATAAGTTGTTAAACTAATTCAACATATAATTAATTAGTCATATATAACTAATTCATTGTAACACCGTTGCCCATCTAATTATTAAGGTTGAAAGCATAGTTTTTAAACTCGGTCCGAAAATTGACCCGGGCAAGTCTTCAGGTTATCGGTTCAACCGCTGGAAAAATCAACAAAAATATTACGCAAAGTGCTGGAAAAATTCAATTTAAATCAATTTTTCCACAAGAAAAACTTACTTTTCCATAAATTATATTTGTTGAACTTAAATTATAAACACATGAAATCTACGGCCTAAGCTGACGATATTGAGTCTTTTGAAGCCGACACAGATGATTTTTTTTTTCTTAAAAAAGAATTTGAGAGTGAGATGAATTCTAAGTTTTTGAAAACTTGATGACATCGATATTTATATTTATCGTAATTACCTTTTTATATGAAATGAGTTGTTTCGATTTAAACTACAAGCTCGTTATTTGACATTAAAAATTGGGCCCCCTGACTAAAATTTGTAGATCCGTCATTGATTGCAATACAACTTTATGATCAAATCTTTTAAATTATGGTTCCTTTCTTTTTTACATGTTCTCCCAACAATTTATGCCACAATTTATTTATTTTTTGCCTTTAATTTTGGTTCTTTGACAATAATTTCAAATATAATCATTTAGATATCTCTAAAAGAAATAATAAAATTATAGTAATATTTGAAGTTGTAGAGCTTGTCATGGATTGCTCATCTTTCCGAAAGCATTCATTTCATTAATTACTTATTATATTTCTTTGTAGCAATCATTTACTTATTATATTGATTCAACGAAGTCATTTAAGTCTAAGCCACTTATTTGTTATTACAGTTAATAATTCAACTAAAATTGTTAGGGGTCACGATCAAAAAAAAAAAAAAAAAATTACGATCAAAAAAAATTGTTAGGGGTCATTTTAATTCAACTAAAATTGTAATTCCAATCCATTTATTGATTTTAGTTTCAATTTGGTGGAATAAGTTTTGACTTTGTTTATATTTGTATACAAATTAGATCATGCAGCAATATCCAATATGAAATAATTAAGATAAATTTTTAATAAATTTTTAATTAGTTAACTTAAATTTATTAAATTTAAAAAAAGTGCTTATATTTAAACTACATGTTCTTGTTACCGGAGAGTAACTAGTACGTACCCCGTGCGAAGCACGTGCGAAAGACGGTACAAAGATGTTAAATGAATTATTTTCACATGTTCTGTCTGATTTACTCTGAAAAACAATATGGGTATCATTTATTTTCCATCTCTTTTAATCAGCGTTGTGGTTTTAACTAGAACATTAAAACATGAGCATATTAAGGCTAACTTGTAAAATAATTAATATATTATCTCACTAACACATTTATACTAATATAATTTAATTTTAGTGTGTGTGTGTGTGTATAAATATATATATATATATATATATGTGTGTGTGTGTATAATTATTCACAGTTTTATTTATTCTTGTTCACCATAATACTTAGTTATTAGTTTATTATAAACTTTGTTGTCATATAATGTCATTATTATTTATAAAAGTTATAGAAGGGGTTCGTCTTCTTTTTCTTTATTAGTGAAAAACATTTGCACGTTAGTATTATTTTTTTATGTAATCAATTTAAAATTAAATATTGTATAAATATTTTATAAATATATACACATATTTTTTTTTACAATTTAATTTTATATACTAATTAACAATGATATAGAAAATGCCACTAACTCAATCTCTTCTATAATCAAGATTTTTCTAATTTGCATTAAAGAATTTTTAGTTTAGTTATCATACTTTGTAATGAAAATATTTTTACAAGAATTTCATTATGGAAATAAACCAAAATAAAAAAAAAAAATTGATAAAAACAATAATCATAGTTGCCAATAATGTACAAATAAATTCTAAAGAACAATTAATATATTTCTTTTGACTATTTGTAAAACGATTTAATGTATCTTGTCATTATCTTTTAAAATGGTAAATTATATTAATTTGAAGAAAAATTTTTTTTATATATAACGAAATTAAGCGTAAGAAAAAATTATATTGACAAAGATCAATTCACCAAC